ATTTGCGTACGGCGGTAGTGGATTATATGCCAACCAAAGAGAAATCACTGAAATTATCGCTAATTATTGATACACTTTAATAGGGTGCCGGTTTTCACGAGGCGCCACCATAATTTCAAAAAACTTTCAAACATGATTTAAGAGATTATGCAATCATCAAAAATAGAAAGCCCTGCCCCTCCAATTCACCCCTGGGACAGAATACCTTGTACATCGGTAAATTAAAGTTCAACGTAGTTTAGTATAAGACCACAATAACTAGACTACAACAGTTAGAGGTCTCGACTAGACAATTTATCGTGATAATAAAAATATTATACTAATCTTAAAAAACAGTAGCTTAAATAGTCTTAGCATTGGCATTACCCTCGAAAGTTCGATATTTTAATATTAAGAAGGTATTACATGTAACGTGAGTAACAAAGTAATTTATTCTTTCCACTGGGGATACAGTACATTCACCGTTCATTCCAGGATAGCAGGTGTTAGCTCATGTGTATAAAATTGTGATGAATACATCTTCTGTTATTAATTGAAAAGCGTCCTGATATACTGTATGCACACCATTAAAGGTGCATAAGATTCCTTCTGATTCCATACAGCTTTTGCTCCTGATCTGGAATATTTAATTGGTCACTGACAGATAGAAATCTTATTTATTCATACAGTTTTATTTTCTAATATTTACTTTTCAGCATTATCCAATAGTAGACACCACTTGATACATTATCAGTTGACCAACCATTAGAAATTCTCATACAGCATATCATCCAGTTGTATAAATTTAAAGGTCAGACTTTTCCGTATTTACAAATGAGACAGGTAAAATATTCTTTCAACCAGTAACATCTTCACAGTGATGTAGAGTATACAATAAACAGTCTAGCATGATTCGCAGGTGGAATTAAATGGTGGTAGAGATGGTTAGATTTACCGATTATTATTTTGAGTTTTTGTTCCATCTACAATACTTAAAAAAGTAATATTACTATACTGGAAATATATTATATTCCATGGGTCAGGTTCTAAAAACTGAATTTTAAAACTTTGCATAAAAGGTAATACTTGTATAATGATTTTTCCCCCTCAATTTAAAATAATTAAATCGATACGTTTCTTAGAAAATTTAAAAAACGTCAAAAATCAATTTTAAAAATTTTCCCTTCGATTTAATTTTAAGAAAAAAGGATATTGCACTTGTTGTGCCGATATTAAAAAATGTGCAAAGTTTTAAAAAATTTCAAACGAAGGAAAACGGAGAAATTTGGGTTTAATTTTGGCAATTTTTACTAAATTTTGTGCGAACAATTTAATACCACAACTGACGTGTACATGCATTTTGTATAAAACAACAAGGCATGACTTTTTTGAAATCACAAAATATAAATTATGTTTGATATACTGTTTATAACTGTGTCGGTTAATGGTCAACTAAGCGTGGATTATACATGTAAAATTGGCAAAGATATTTAGGTAATTACTGGTTATGACTTCTTGGTATTAATTTGAAAAATGTTTGTCAAAATTCGTCCCGTGCGAGTTAGTACTATCGTCGGATGTTTTCGCAAAATGCCCGTTCAAATTTCAGTTTTTATAGCGGTATGTTTGGAGTTTTGGCCCTGCTTATTTCACCCGTAGAGGGCTCATTATTTAAGTCATCTTTATTGTCATAAGTGCTGCTAGATTGTGGAGAAAATACTGCAAATTCTTGAGGAAACTTTATATCATATCCCAATGTTCACGATCGAACCTCGCGTACGGCGGTTCAAAAAACATCCAGAATACCGCTTGAAAAAAAACAAGTTTACATTATCTTCTTTTGAAACATCACATCCAAGTATCGTTGTGGCTTTTAGAACTCTTTTTATGCTTTAAACTAAAGCAAAATTCACACTTTTGTTTCGAAAAGAGTTAAAACACAACGTTCGTTCGTATTTTGAAGTCACACGAGTTTTAGTTTACATATATACGAAGAACGTAACCCCCGGAAATAAAACCCTAGGGAGCC